GGGGGGGTAACAACGATGACGAGGCCGGAAGCTCCTCCCTCCGTCCTTCGGTGTCGGAAAGGCGCAGGAAGCAGGCGAGCAGTCCCCACGGCGTAATAGCGCCGGCGTGGGCGACTTTCCGTCGCCTCGGCCGGATCCTTTTCGCCGGTCGCCGGCGTGGCCATCAAGTGCCTCCAGGCGGCCGAGCGCGCCTGGTGGGAGGCGAAGTAGTCCCCCGCCACCGATGATGCAGCTGCGCCCGCGTGCATGCCGGCGCTCCGGGACGAGTAACAACTGTCCTCGACCCTCTCCGGCATGCTCATTTACCACACCCTCCACGGCAACAGCCTCTGTCCTGCGAGGACGACTCCGGCAAGTAGTTTAAGTTTGAACTATCTATCAGTGTGCTATGTGCCCAACTATCTATCAAGTTGTGTGTGATGAACTATTCTTATGGAACTACGGTGATCTATGGCGCGAACTAGAAGTTTCAAATCTAGTGGAAATCCGGGGACGTTTAATGGGATCAATTTAGCCGACCTGTCCGTCGTCCTGCAAAATTTGTGTATGGAATATTGTAAATGACATTTGTTGGACGATGGTATACGGGATCTATGCTCTAAGGCTAAGTTAACTCTATTATATTATTATACTCCCTTCGATCCATGTTACTTGTCTGTCAAATTGATGTATCTGGATGTATTTTAGTGCTAGATACATGATTTTGGGAACAAGTAATTGGGGTCAAAGTGATATTAAGTTCTGATGTGCTTTATTTGTATTTTTCACTGATATTAATCACAAAATGGAGAAAATCCGGTGATCCAGACTAGCAATTTTTCTCGATATGAATAATTTGTCACATTATCATGAAACCATGTATGACAAAGGTTCACATTAATTATATTTGGCCATATCTCAGGCCGGGCTGGGTCAGGCTTCGCGCCTGGCTAAACAAAACCCGACGTCTGCGGGACAGGCCCGAGACCGGCACGACCGACAAATTTCTATGTTTTCCAGGCCCGAGGCAAAGCCCGAATGCCCAAAGCCCAGCCGATGGCCAAACATAAGCAACAAAATAAATTATGTCTAGCAAACAATTGCAGGAAAACTATGCTATAAACAGCAAGATATTAATATTTGGACAGCAAAACATATGCCTATCATTTATCAGTAACTAGTAAGTTTGCACGTGCAATGCACGTCTCCGCCCCAAAAAAATCTTTGCTCATAGAACCCTTATGAGAAATCTATGCGCTCATAGAACCCTTCTAACCCATCTATATATATCCTATTGTGTACGTCACATTGGATAATCTATAATGAATCGAATTATGCAAGCTCAATTAGTCATCTGAACTTTTAAAATATGTAATGTGCCTTTTACAAATACTTCCTCTGTAAAAAAATATAAAAGCCTTTAGATCACTAAATTAGTAATCTAAATGCTCTTATATTTATTTACAGAAAGAGTATAAAGAAGACATGCTAGAAAAAAAATGGCACTTGAGTGGGCTTTGAATTCACACAAGATTAATTGAAAGCAAAGAAGACGTGTTCAAACAAAATTAGCCTGACGTATTGAATTCACACAAGATCTTTTTTCTAGGGTTAATATCGCCATTTTATTTAAAACTCAAAGCTCGGAATCTCATCCGACAGTACATCAAGCACAAAGTCTGGGGGAGCCCCCAACCAAACCTTACAAAGTTCATCCCCCACGCCGACTCTAGCTAACTTATGCGCGACGACATTAGCTGAACGTCTAACCCACGTTACCTTAGAATCTTCAAAAGATCTAAGCATCACCTTGATCTCCTTCACCAACAGCCCCGCAGCAGAGAGATTCTTCTGCCGGGAGTTCAGCGCGTGAACTACCCCTTGGCTATCAAGCTCCACATGAACCCTCTCTGCGTTGATTTCTCTCGCCACATGAAGTCCTTGCCTGCATGCCAACATCTCCGCTGTCTCAGGGTCCACAATATCACGGAAAAGATGGCACATTCCTGCCCTAAAAGCACCATGGTGGTCTCTAAGCACAGCAGCACCACCTGAATTGTCCCCGGTCTTGGTAGTCGCTCCGTCGGAGTTGACATTAATCCACCCCTCCTCTGGCGCCTCCCACTTCTAGACCACTCTTTGCACCGGCGTCTGGCTCGATGGAGAATGAGCTCCTTTCCATTCCGCCAAGTGGCAAAGGACGGAAGCTAGTATTTCATGTGGCTGCTTCATCTTCCTTCCATCTCTAGCATCATTCCTAGCTAACCATAGGCCATATATTGCATGTATGGTCGCCTCTTTCTCTTCATCTGACGCCCCCGCAAGCCACCCCAGGACCCAGCACGCCAATTCACTCCGGGAGTCCATCGGGCTAGGTGGGATTGCCACCCCAACTCCCTTCTCCGAGTGAAACAGCTTCCAGAATAAAACCAAGTGTGGACACGCCCAAAAGCGATGATAGATGGTTTCTTCTCTTCCACAGGCCACACAAAAGACTCCGGGTTTGATACGTCGTCGATGAAGTTCATCTCCCACCGCCAGCCCGTTCCTGATAAGCCTCCACAGGTGGATCTTTGCCTTGCCCGGCGCACATGTATCCCAAAGGGCAGAGAAACCCTTGTGACGGGCAACAGAGCTAGAAGATTCCGGTTGTCCGGTTCTTGCTTTGCCCAAAGACATTTTCAGATGATAGGCCGATCGCACCATGAACGCGCCGCTCTTGGTGTAGTTCCAAGCGAGGTAGTCCTCTCTTCGAGCTCCCCCAATAGCGATCTGCAGAATGTCCGCAGCATCTTGGGGGGAAAACATCTCCCGAACTCTCTCCTTTCGCCATGAGCTTCCATCCGACGTCAACAGATCGGCCAGCTTCGTCACCCCTTGAGTAAATACCTGGCCTAGTGGCTTTAAAGATCTGCATGATTCACATATATACATGCGTGGCTTTCAGCCAATACATGCAAGCTCCAACAACGACACATCCATGGTCTCGTGCGCACCGATGGGAGGCAAGACGATGTGTATCCGGCGACCACGCAGATCGACTACTCCGAGCTCACGCAGCCGCAGCCGCATCGGAAGCCAAAGAGCTCCAATGGGCTATCTCGACGTGTCTACACCGAGCCGCACGATCGCCTACACCAAGCCATCAGCACGAAATCACCTGCACCGAGCGATCTGCACCAACCCCGGGCCGCATCATCAAGCTGTACGACTACGCCAGGCTAGAGGCCAATATACTTCGTCCATGAGAAGCGATCTCAACATGCACCATTCACACGTCATGTCGAATGAGATGCAATTTTCATCGACTTCTCCGTCGCAACACGGCATCGACGCTTGGTCGCCACGAGTGATGCCTTCAAGCAACACATTATCGTCGACACGCCGCTGCGACGCTATCGCTGATACTTCATCGCCAAGGTCTTCATCAACGTGGTCTTCACCAACATCTTCGTCAACACACAGCCACTGCCTTGTCCACAAGATGGACACCTAGCGTGCTCTGATATGGTTTTCTGCAAGACGCGACCACGACGACGGCAATGACCGCGTCACGACGACGGCATCGACCACGTCATCACTACAAGAAATATGTCAACTAGTGACCTTCTGTCAGTGACCCTAAAAGAATTGGTTATAGATCTATAATCATTTGAGACCAGTTGATCAAAAACTGTTCAGAGCACTCCAAACCGTAAACCATTGCGACCATTTTGGTTAGAAAGGTCGTAATTTCCTTACACGATATGGTCATAAAGCAAACAGCGCTGGTCCGCTGCCTTATTTCTAGTTGTTAACGACCAATATAGATGGTCATAGCCTTGTAAATTATGGTGGATTGTGATGACTAGGCACCATCTCATCAGTTTTGCCTATGTGTCATGTTCATGTGTCAATTTTTGCCCTAGGTTCTGAAGCAACCTATATTTCTGTTACTCTAAAAATTCCCAAAAAATTCTCATAAATTGTTTGGATCATATCTTCATCAAATATG